GGGGTTCACCCTTGGCAGGTGGGAAGGCAGGGAAGAACAAGGAGGTGCCAGCCAGGGCTGCGAAGGCAGTGGTGGAGAAGTCGAGCGGCCTGTGGGGAATCTCGCAGTGCTGGCGTGGCGTGGTGCAGCAGCAGGTAGAGCTTGGAGGGCTGGCCGGGAGGGATGTGTGGGACCCACGCTGGGTGGGTGGAGCAGGGAGTGAGGCCTGGCAGTGCCCTGGGAGTGTGGGGAGGGCACAGGGCTGTACTAGGCCTCCACAGAGCCCAGAGCGATGTGGGGACAGCTCTGCTGCACTTGCCACCCTGGCACGGCTCAGGTGTCAGCCAGGCCCTGCACCCAGGGGGATGCTGCCAGGCCAAGAGAAAGGTACAGTGTCGGGCCCCTGATTTCCTGCAGGGCTGCTGCTGTGCCTCTGTCATTCCCTCACAGACCCTGTCCAGCCCTCTCCACAAGCTCTCAGCAGCCTGCAGCAGCAACAGGGGCCCGAGCTGGCCTCTGGCTGGGACCCGGGCAGTCAGTGTTGGCAGAGCAAGGCTGGGGCTGCAGACGTTCCCACGGGCACATCCCGCTGTGGGCTCACCTCTCTCGCTCTGTGTCCCACAGGTGCAGCAATTCCTGGAGGCAGCAGGGCAGGTACCAGACCTTGCAGAGCAATACTGCAGGCTGTACCAGCGCCTGCGCGGTGCCACGGAGGAGCTCTTTGGGCAGCAGGCGGCCTTCATGCTGGCCCTGGGCCAGGGCTTTGCGGGGGCTTTGCTGCAGCTCTCCTTCCTGACTGCCCTGCATGTGAGTCAAGGGAGTGCGGCACTGGTGTTGTGGCCCTGGGGGGGCACAGGCTGGGGAGCTGCCCTGGCCCGTGGCCTTGGGGTGAGCTCTGGGTGGGTGGTGTGCTCGTCCCCACCGAGCCACAGAGCCCTGTCCTGTGGCAGCCCGAGATGGGCCCCAGCTGCAGGTGTGGCGCCTATCACAGTGTGGGCCTGGCCCCGGCACACTCGTGCCTTGGACTGGTGCCTGGGCACCCTCAGCCCCTGCCTGAGAGTGCCAGAGTTTCCCAGCTGCTCCCGCGAGGGACATTCCCCCAGCCCTGCACTGTGGCCACCCTGTGAGTGCCCTCCACAGCCAGCCCTGTTCCTCACAGGTGAGCGAGCAGTTTGCCCGCTACCTTGATGTGCAGATCCAGGAGCTCCGCAGGGCAGCGCAGGGCAGCACAGGGCCGCTGGAGCGGCTGCAGCAGTTCTTGGAGCCCTTTGTCGTCTTCAGTGGCCTGGAGCTCGCCCACACCTTTGAGCACTTCTACAGGTGAGGGTGCTGTGTCTCCATGGACTCCATGGAACCAGGGGCCTGGTGCAGGGTGGTGTGGCATGGCGGGGGAGCC